CCGCCCCCCACCCCCGCAGGTCCCTGTTTGCGCGCTGTAACCTGAGCTGTCTATTGATGGACGTGGGGTCTCCCCCCTGTTTAGTGGGAGGGAGGGGGCGGCACTCCGGAAAGGGGCACTTTCTGTTCTCAGCTGATGTGGCGGGCCCACGGCCCTTTCTACCCGGGGTCCCCGGCCCCTGGCCCGCGCACACTTGCTCCCCAACCACATTGTTGTTCTGAGTCTCCGACTGCGGTTTCTCGGCCTCTCCCCCTCCCTGTCCCTGGACGCCGCCGAGCCTTCCCGCACTGGCTCGGGGCCAGGCTTTGGGGGGATTCCCTCTCTGCAACTTTGCATTTTATTGGCTTGTGTTTCCCTCCCGAGGGAGGGGTAGAATAAAGTTCTCTTTGGCCGTCTTTTAATCGGGGTCGCCGACGTGGCGGTTCTCTGGCTTGGAGCTTACGGGTGCACTGGTTTGAGGGGCTGTGGCTTGGAGGAGTTCATCTTGGTCGAGGGGTGGGACCTGCGAGGATCCTGCCCTGGCCTGCAGCCCCCCTTCCTGAGCACCCCTCCTCTCTGCCTTTCCAGACACAACAGCTGGGAGCCAGAGGAAAATATCCTGGACCCAAGGCTGCTCCTGGCCTTCCAGAAGAAGTGAGGAACTTCCCAGCATGCACTGGGACGGGGGGCGCGGGCTGGGGTGGGGGGCATCACGGCTGCACTGGTCCTCCAGGAGCCCCGGGCTTGGGCTGTGGGCCGAGGTCCTGTGGCGGGCGGTCACGAGGCATCTGATGCCATCTCCATGGCAGCCAGAAAAGCCCTGAGGTCCTGGTGGGTCCTTCCCCCTGGTCAGGCCACCCTGAGGAGTCACTGAGTAAGTGTTTCTCTTGGTCCTTCTAATAGCCCAGCGTGCAGAACCTTCGCAGGTCCTTCCTGGACGGTCCTGGCTTCTTCCCTGGCTGGGCACATTGAACAGGCTCAGGGAGGGAGCTATGAACACAGGTCCCTAAGCAGATTTGATCTGGGGTCTCTGTAGCAAGAACAACACATACATTTTCTGGGCTACAAAACAGTACCAAGTGAGTGCCATGGGGCCCTCCTGCTAGTCCCAGGGGCCATGTTTGCTTCTGCAGTTCTTGCTGTCTTTTCTATTTTTAGGTGGGAAATTGGCTGAGAGAGATGCCTCTTTGGGATAGTGAATGGAAGGGGGGGACATGGACAAGCGCACCCCATTGTGGTGGGCAGGTCCCCAAGCGGAGGGTGGCAAGCTGTGGCCAGCAGCATTACTGCCTCCCTCCTTGCTGGTGGTTCAGAAGCCCTGTGGTGGTGGCCAGGCTGCGGGCTGGTTCCCTGGCTGTGCTCAGTTGTTTTCAGGGGGGCAGGACGTTCTGGGCCTGCAGAGGAGCCATGAGACGGGGGTCCCTTCTGGTGGTGAGTGTGGGTGAGAGGCTGAGCTGAGGAATCCTGGTGTCCCCGGGTGGCGCCCATGACCAGGTGTATGGCTGCTGTAACGGGAAGGCTGGCAGTCCCCGTACGCCTAGGAAGTGGGGGTGTGGTGATCTACGGCCCGGAAATCAGCCTGCAAACCTGTGCAGCCCAGGTCAGCGCTGACCCACCGCGGTCGTCGGGAATTGAAAAGTCTGCTCCGGGGCACCTGGTGTGGGGTTAGTTCGTGTAATTTCAGGCTTATTTAGATACGTCTGGAAAGCATAGCAGCAGCCTCATTTCACTTTGTTCAGTTCATCCTGGGGTCCGGGAGGTCTGCACCAAGCCGGGGAGAAGGGCTGATGGAGACTCTGGGAGCTGGCCCCTTTGACCTTCTCCGTGGTGAGAGGGGTGTGGCCTCCACTTGGCTCTCAGTTGTAGACCAGAAAAAGAGCCATGGTTGGTAGTGGCGTGAAAAAGCCGGAGGGTGGTGTGGAGTAGGTCACAGCAAGGAGGGGACTGGGAAGGTGGGCGTGGGGGGTGGCAGATACCTGCTTGGTATGAGGCGGGTATGGTCTTTGAACGGCAACGGAAGAGGAGTGGTAGGTTTAGACCACCTGGTATACAGGCTGGCGGTATGGTCCACAGTGTTAGTGGGGACACCCCAGGGGATGCCCTGGTCTTCTAGGAGATAAGTTGAGACCAAAGCGTTTCAGCCTGACTCCATCAACTTGCACTAGATAGATTCTTGAAGATCCCCTTGCAGCCTGCCACCCCCAAAATGATGTTGGCCTGTGTTCATTACCAGGAAACCTCTGCAGATAGATCCCCGTCCCCGGGGAGGGCCTGTGAAACTGCGCTCTCTTGGGCCTTGTGCACTCACGAAGGGAGTGTTGCCGATGGTTCAGGCTCTGAGCCCTGGCACCTTGAAATTGTGCACTGCTTCCTTCAAGAGTAAGGCGCTCTGGTGGCATAGAGGCTAAAGCATTCAGCTGTTAACCACAAAGTCGGTGGTTCAAATCCACCGGCCACTCTGGAAGAAAGGTGAGGCAGTCTGCTTCCGTAAAGATTGGCAGCCTTGGAAGACCCAATGGGATAGTTCTCTGCCCTGCGGGGTTGCAGTGAGCCAGAATTGACTGGAGGGCAGTAGGTTTGATTTGGTTCTATCGAGAGCAGGGTTTAGGAACAAGCTTTTTTTTTTTTTTTCTTTGCATTGGTCACTCCATTTGGTGGAGTCTTTCCCTTCACCCAAAATCAATACTTGTCTCTTACCTGTCTAGCCATTTTTCCTGCCTTCCCTGTTAACCAACAAAGATGGTTTCCCTCCATGTGTAAACCTTCCATGACCCTTTACAACAGTGAACTAATACAATAACTTGCAAATAACGATGAGAGAGAGAGACAATACATGCCAGGGATCGGAGGGCAGAGGCTGGACCCCTGAGCCTCTAGTGGGTCCTTCGAGGACCAGAGGAGGGTGAGGGCTCGTGCTCGTGATGGGGGCAGTGGTTTTGGTTGTCCACCTCGGGGCTTCCTTCTCCTTTGAAGTGACGAGGCTGGACCCTGCAAAGATTTCTTCTAGTTGTGATGTTCTAGCAATTAGGACCCACCAGCCACTCCACAGGAGAAAGGTGAGGCGGTCCAGAAAGGTGACAGTCTTGAAAGCCGCATGGTGGCTGTTAGGATTTGACCCCAGGGCACCAGGTGTGGTTTGGAAGAGGCTGAGGGCTTATTTCCCTGGCTGGCCTTCATTTCTTTGCCTTTTTGACCGAGTGGAGGTTCAGTGAGGAATGGAGGGAGGGTTGGTGCAGGGGTTGGAGAGCAGAGTTAGTGCTAGCGAGCGCAGGAAGGCGGACCTCGGCCACACGCCCTGTGGGGCGGCTGGGGCTCTGGCGCCCCCGTGTGGCGGAAGGAAGGGCTCCCACCCTGATCCATGTGTGTCTTCAGGGAGCACGAGAAGGAATTGCAGAACCGGAAGAGAGGCAAGCGGCCGCGGGGCCGGCCCAGGAAGCACACCGTGATGTCCTCCTGCAGTCGGCGCTCCAAGCTCAAGGTGGGTGGCGGCCAGGCCACTGCCCTTCCAGATCCGGAAGGTTTGAGGGCCCTGGAATGAGGAGAGGTTGGCAGGTCTGCAGTTCCCTGGGGTTCCTTGCGGCACTGTAAGCCTCTGCCAGCTGGGGGCGCGAGTGAGCCGCAGGGCTCCGTTCCTGCGGGCCCTGCAGTGACCACGCCCACTCCAGAGTGGTTTCCTGTTGGGGCCCGTGGCCAGCCTGCCTGCCTTAGTACTGGGAAGAAGAGTCGTCTCAGATGTGCGGCTTAGTGGGGAACAGAAAAGAATCAAACTGTGTCCACAGCACGTGCTCCTGGGTTGGTGGAACCCAGGAGACTCGCAGGGTAGCTGGTCGAGCCAGGGGCCCCTCTGAGTGCACCTTAAATCCAGCTGCCAGCAGCTGGCTGGTCACTGAGCTACACTGGACAGGCATCAGTTTTCAGCCATGGGGAATGGACACAGTGGTTAGGGGACATGAGTGACCTGGCTCAGGGCCAGGGGGTGATCCACACAGGTGCCTCCTCAGGGATGTTTCTCCACCCCACTCCCTACAGGGACACCCCCAGGTTCATGGCACCCTGTCCTTCCCCCGTGCCCAGGTAGAAGGGGGAAAGGTGTTGGCTGCAGGGTCTAGAGTGTCTGATTCCTTCCTCAAGGTCACTGCCAGGAACCTGCCACACTTGGTGCTATTCCCTCTGAAAGCACAGGCTGGACCCACGTGCTCAGCCAAGTCTTGCAAATGCCACCCTTCCCGTAGGGCCATGAGGGGCCAGCCTGAGTCTTAGCACTGGGCTGCCTGGACTTCACGATAGTGTCATTGTCTTCTCTGAGCAAGGACAGGGGTGCAGGAGTCCAAGGGCTTGATGGGAAAGGGGATCGCTGTCTGGCGGGAGAGGCAGCCAGGCTGGCCTGTGAGGGGGGCTCTCCTCAGCAGAGGGTGGTGAGAGTGGGGGTGCAGCAGAAAAGCGGGGAGCAGGTGACAGGAGGTCGGACCCTGGGCAGGGAGGACCTCACATATGATCCCATTGTCCCTGGTTTGAGTTGGGAGCACTAGGCTCAGGGAGCCCCAGGCTGACTCACCGCCTAAAGCACTCGTTGACAATTCTGCTGCAGTCCAGGGACTTGTTCCCCATTTGGCTGGAGACGCAGGGCAGGGGAGGGCTGTTAGCTCCCTGTGGTCTGGGAGTCTCTGAAGGGGTGGGGGCTGGGAATGGGGGTGGGTGCAGGAGGGCAAGGTGTGCTCTGCTTTGGGGCGACGGAACCTGTGCACACCCCTCTCCACAGCTGGCCTCCTGGGGCGTGAGGCTCCTGCAGCCCTGGGCTTCCCTTTTCAGAATGGCTGCTAGGGGGCAGGGTGCCGAGTCTGTGTCCACCAGCAGCTCTCTGTGGGCCGGCCGAGGCAGTGCTGTGCGTTTTCACCCCGCCCTGCTGACTTCACAGAGCGGCCCTGGTGGTGCAGGTCCTTAAGCGCTTGGCTGCTAACTGATGGGTCTGCAGTGTAAACCCCCCCAGCGGCCCGCAGGCAGAGGGCCTGGCGACCTCGCTGTAAGGGTTACAGCCGAGTTTCTCCGTGATGCAGGGTCGCTGGGAGTGGGAACCAGCTCCAAGGCACGCAGCGACAGTAATTGACTTCGTCTTATGAACCGACTCCTTTTCCTTCTCTACTTGAAACTTTACATTTTGTGTGACTTGTGTGAACCCTTTAAGTCCCTTCTAGATCAAGATGTGTGCAAGGCACGGGAGGGGCCGGGGCTCCATGGGGTGGGTGGCGCTTTGGACCCGGGGTGCCTGGCCGCAGAGGTAGTGACCCTGCTTTGTCTCCCCAGGAACCTGACGCTCCGTCCAAGTCCAAGTCAAGCAGCTCCTCCTCTTCCTCCACCTCCTCCTCGTCTTCCTCCGACGAAGATGATGATGACAGTGACCTAGATTCCAAGAGAGGCCCCCGGGGTCGTGAGACCCACCCGGTGCCCCAGAAGAAGGCTCAGATTTTGGTGGCCAAGCCTGAGCTGAAGGACCCCATCCGCAAGAAGCGCGGCCGGAAGCCGCTGCCCCCGGAGCAGAAGGCAGCCCGGCGGCCCGTGAGCCTGGCCAAGGTGCTGAAAACAGCCCGCAAGGACCTGGGCGTGCCGGCCGGCAAGCTGCCCTCTCCGCTCAGTTCCCCAGTGGCGGGCCTGGCAGCCCTGAAGGCCCATGCCAAGGAGGCCTGCGGTGGCCCCAGCAGCACGGCCACCACGGAGAGCCTGGCCAGCCTGATGAAGGGTGTGTCGGGGAGCCCCAGCCGAGGTGGCATCAGCTGGCAGGGTTCCATCGTTCATTACATGAGCCGCATGACTCAGAGCCAGGCCGAGGCCGCCAGCCGGCTGGCGCTCAAGGCCCAGACAGCCGGCAGGTGCAGCCTCGGGCTCGACCTGAAGGTGAGGACACCAAGGGGGGACCTGGGGGTCGGCCCCCCGGCAGGCAAAGTGCTGAAGGCCCCGGGCAGCGGGGCCACAGAGCAGAAAGGGGGGGGTGCGGGGGGCGCCCCACACGCCCAGGGTGGCAGCAAAGTCTCTGTGGGCTGCCTGAGCCCCCAGCCCACCCCCAGCCAAGAGCTGAGCCTGAAGGTCTTGGATCTTCAGAGTGTCAAGAATGGCACCTCGGGGGTTGGCATGCTCGCACGCCACGCCACAGCCACCAAGGGCGTCCCCACCTCTCACCCAGCCACAGGGAAGGGCTCTGGGGGTGGGCCCACCGGGGGCAGTGCATCCAGTGCCCCCACCGACCCCAGCAAAAGCGAGAAGCTGGCCTCACGGGCGGCAGCCTTGCCCACCTCCTCAGGCAAGCGGGACTGTAGCAAGGGCAGCGGGCCCCCGGGCGGCCAAGAAGGCCGCCCGGCCTCGGGGGAGGTCCGCAAGGCCCCGGCGCTCTCCGAGATGAGCACTGGCGAGGAGAACAGCAGCTCCGACTCAGACCCCGACTCGGGCCCGCTCCCTGGGGCCGGGCAGAACCTGTCCGTCTCGGTGCAGACCAGCCAGGACTGGAAGCCACCTCGCAGCCTCATAGAACACGTCTTTGTCACTGATGTCACTGCCAACCTCATCACAGTCACAGTGAAGGAGTCCCCCACCAGCGTGGGCTTCTTCAACCTGAGACCTTACTGAGGCCCCTCCCCTGCGGCCCTCTCCCCCAGCCCCGCTGCAGGGTCTTAGCACCCACCCTTCCTGGGTTCTCTGGGACTCTCAGCCCAATCCCTGTTCAGGGGGCTGGGTTGGGGTGAGGAGGCGGTGGTGGTCTCCTTTAGGGCAGGGTTGAGGGGCTGCTTCGTCTTGAAGACCCTACTACCCTGCGCTGTGACCTCGGGCGGGCAGCCGTCCTCACACGCCTGCCTAGGCCAGGCTTCCCACACTCCTACCTCACTGGGCTTCTGCTGGACTTTGCCTCAGGAAATTTAGGGGACCCCCATCCCCCCAGCTGAAGCCGCAGTGAACTTGGCTGTTTCCCAGGGGGACGGTGTTGGAGACAAGGGTCTGAGTCTAGCTTACCTCTTGGGCAGAGGAGGGCAGTTTATCAAGGACAGGGTGCCCTGGGCTGCTCCAGGCTGGGGGTGGAGCGGAGAAGGTGCCAGAACCTCCCCTTCAAAGCAGTGCCGAAGCCCAAAGGGTCAGGGGGGAGTTGGGTGTCCTGCCCTCACCCTGGCAACTGAGGGGCTGTGGTCTTAAAAGGACAGGTGGGGTTTGTCCAGGGGGTGATCCGGAGCCCTGCGTTAGCTCCAGCCAGCCCCTGTGGTGGGTGTCAGGTGATTCAGCCTCTTAACCCCAGGTGTCAGACCAGAGCTGCTTTGTAGGGTTTTACGGCTTCGTGACCATTGCGAAGCTGGTTGCCAGGCTTGTCTTGATAGGGCCCTGTGGGTGGCTTTGAACCCGCAACCATTTGAGCTAGTGGTCTGGCGCCTCCCAGAGACCCGTTCCAGCTTGCCCTAGTACAGAGGAACTTAAAACCGTAGCCAGAAGTCCAGCGGGAGTTGGGGCTGCCCTGGGGCTCAAGCCCCGCTGAGGAGCTGGCCCAGGTGCTGATACTCACCCACCCTATCTCTGAAGAAGACAGCTGCTGGAACGCAGGGCACAAGGAGCCAGCGGAGGGAATGGACAGGCCAGGCCGGGAGTGTGGTGGACGGTGAAGAGAAACGGCTCAGGAGAAGGAATGTGTCCTGTGGATGGGACCAGAGCGCGCCCCCCCCCCCGGCTCCACCCCCAAGTGCCACCACTGCTCCCAGGGCTGCCTGAATCCTCTCCTTCAGCAGGTGGCCCTGCCTGACCACCCAAGTGCTCGCTTCCTACCTGTGTGTGGGTATTTGCTGGGGTCCCACCTGTCACCCACACTGCCTGGGTGTATGGGCTGCTCCCTGGGCACCCCTTTTCCCTGACAATCCACTCTTCTGAGGGTTCCACGCCCAATTCCTGTGCCCTTTTGGAGAGCAGCACAAGTCCCAGCCGCCCCGACGGTGCGGGTGACGAAGTCTTGGGCAGAGCCCTGTCGCACCCCGCTGGGAGGAAGACCCACCCAAGATGCCCAGTCCTTTCCCTGGTCAGGGGTGAGGTTTGGGGCCTCCCTCCCTCGGTGATTCCTGACCAGCATAGGAGAGGGGTGTGGGACCAGCCAGTCGACCCCACAGAAGGTGATGGATTGCCTAACTTGGTCTGGCAGGATCCAGGTCACTGGGTCTTGGTGATGCCAAAAAGAAAGGGAGGGGCAAGTCTACCTGTTAATGTTCTGTGATTGGTTAAAATCAGTAGCCGCTGTGGGGCTTCTTTATCCTAGAGTGGCCTCAACTATGGAGAAGGGTTGATGGGCTGCTCTACCCCATACCAGCCTGGACTCAGGGCCCAGTACCTCACCCTACACACCAAATAGGAAGAGACAGTCTTTGTGTAGCCAAATTTACTTCAGCAGCGTGCCTTTGGGGGCGGAGTTTCCTCCGCCCCATGAGATTGCAGGAAGGGCCCAGATGCAGCCTCCCGCACAGCCTTGAGCAGGAGTGGTGCCCACACTGGGGGTCCAGGAGGCCCACTCCCAGGCTGGAGCTGTGATGGCAGCACGGAGAAGGGAGACATGCCCCCCTCCCCAGTGGGGCTGGCCCCTGGCACTACCTCCTCTCCTGTCCCCAGATGGAGCCTTAACGCCATGTGACTAAAGCGGGCCTCTGGGCTGCCCCCACAAACGAGCAGACCTGCCCAGCTGGCACCAGTCTGCTTTGGGAATGACCATGCTGGAGGCAGCTCCCCCTCCAATCTTAGCTGGCCCTGGGGTGCCATGTGCTGTTAGGAGTGGGGTCTCTGCCTTTGGTTATTGGGGGGGCTGCTCTCCAGACCCCAGTTTGGTGCCTTTCTGTTTACCAGCTACTTCAATCCCAAAGTTTGAGACCGCAGACCCCTTGCTCTTGCCGCTTGTGTGTATGCCTTGATGCTTGACCTCCCCCGGCGGTTCTTAGGTTGAAAGAAAAACGCGTGTTTTGGCACGGGGACACGCGAGAGCGTTTGCTGAACGATTGGACCAGGTGCTCAGTGGTCATCTTGTTTACCAATAAAGTAGTCCCTTTGATATTTTTATTTGCTGCTATTTCTGTGCGTGTGAGTGTAGCTGACCCATCTGACCTACAGTTGGTTGTTTCTTCCTAAGTGAGCAGTCAGTGTGTGTCTATGGAAAGCTGTTTGACTCCTGCCTTTCGGTTGCTTCTGTGTTGGGAGGGGAAGATGTGGCCAGCCTGCCCTCTTCCATCCAGGTCTTAGCTTATTCTTATATATCCTTTTTGTACCAAAAAGAGTGTTCCTTTTTTGGGGGGGTTGTATTCACTTCTGACCTGACTGGAGAAGACCCTGGGCCTGGAGCTGTCATTGGCGGACACCTTCAGCCCAGGGCCAATCACTGGCTCCATTTGTGCTTTTAGTTTGAAAAGGGGGGGAGGGAGGGAGTGAAATCATCCATGTGTACCACTTCTAATTGTTTTAAACTAGGGCTGTTTGCTTAAGAAAAAAAGACACAAAGGGGTTGTGTTAGTGCCCTGGGAAAGCTTAAGATCTTGGCTGAAACAGGGCTGCAGCCCAGCCGGAAGGGTCAATCGAAACCAACCCTTCAAAGGAAGTGCCTCTCCCAGGAAGCCCACCACGGTTGGGGGAAGGGACGGGGGCTGGTGCCTGGGTGACCAGATTGTGATTGAGTCCATCTCATGATTCTGCATTCCAACGTGTTTCGGGAAAGCTGATACTAGCCTAGATTGCAGGTTTCTTTAGACAGGTTAATTTATTTTGTGAGGGTGGGGGGAGCCATTAGCAAACGGTGTCAGAAGATTCTGGTCTTTTGTTAACTCTTAGTGTATCAATAAATATTTTTTTAAACTTTGCAGCTTGTGTGCATCTTGTGATAACCTGGAAACACCACTTTCCCTTTCTTGAGACTGGACATGGGCTGAGACTGAGGGGCGGGCATAGGAGCACTGGGACGGAACGTGAGAGCCTTTGGGAACGTCAGCCATTTCCATGGGAAGTGGAAGGGATGCATTGACTAGGAGTGGGTGCCCCGTGCCAGTGGTTCTCAGCTACAGGGGATCGGGCACTCCAGGGGATGTTTGGCAGTTTCTGGAGACACTGTTTAGGTTGGCACGGGGTGGGGGAAGGGGTGGTATGGGCATCTGTGGGTGGAGGCCTGAGGTGCTTCAAAACAACCTGCCTGCGATGCCCAGGACAGCCCCCACCACAGAACGATCTTGCCCAGATCATCATCAGTGCCAACGCTGAGAAAGCCCTGCTGTGGTCAGAAAGGTGGAGAGGACAGGGTAATACCAGGGAGCTGGTGCTGCTGGTGTCTAGTGGGTGGAGGCCTGGGATACTGCCCTCCAATCAACACAGACCCCTGCCTCTCCCACAAGTGACTGTTTGGATTAAAAGCAAAGTAAGATTCCGGGCCCTGAAAGATGCCATGTCAAACCCACTCAACTCCTGGAACCACACCTGGAACACTTTCAGGACAAAGCTTTAAAATTCTAGGGGACCCGCTGTGAAGCCCAGGAAGCCTTGTGTCAGCCTCGCTTCTGTGCTGATCAGAACCCACGGCTCATAATAGAGATGAAGTCTTATTAAGTAGCCTGCCCGGGTCCTTTAAGGTTTCCCTTACTCTCACCATGAATTTATTCATCAATGTCTGCCTCCAGGGAGAATCCAGCTCTCTTGCAAGTGAAGCGGGAAGTCGGCCGGGATGGGGGTTGCCAGTGGCTGAAAGGCTAGTTGGGGTGCCGGCCTGAAGGCTCCCCTCTGGGAAGAAGTTCCCAGTACAGACAGGAACGCGACCCCCAGCGCTGCCGGCTCCCGGCGAGGCCGGCCACCGTAAAAGCAGAGCCCTGCTGCGGGGGCTTCAGCGGCTCTTTGTTGGCGGCCGCAGGGGGACTGGCTCTTCTGCGTTTGGAGACACTGGGCAGAGGCCCCCCTAGCAGTCCTGTCCTCGGGGTTTTCAGAGCTGCAGGAAGGGGTTGGGATGGCCGGGAAGGGCTCCCCGGCCCGAGCGGTGCCTGTTCCCCATCGCGCGAGGGCCAGGCCCTCCTGCGAGCCCGTTTCCACTCCGCTCGACCTCACTCGGGCCTTTGTTCGTTTCTGCGCCGCCGGTCTGGTCGCCTAATCCGCTGCCTCCCCAACAAAGCGGGCTGTCAGGGGGCCCGACCCCGAGTCCGCCACGTCCCGCCTGCGTGGCGGCCTCCCCCTTCCTGCCCGGGGTCGCCTGGGCCAAGCGGCGCGGAAGGGCTCCGAGGACCGGCACCCGGCCGGCTGGACACTCTCGTCTCCACCCTGGCGGCTCGAGGGCTCAGCCACAGCGAGGACGCAGAGGGGGCGCCCAGGGCAGCCCACTCCGGTGGTGCCTCTGGGCGGGGATGGTGAGGCTTTGCGGCTCCTGGGAGACCCCAGAAAGACGCCGGCCGGACCCGGGAGGGGTGGGCGCCGGGGAGAGGGGCTGCGGCCGCCGCCGCCTCCAGAGGGCGCGCGCGCCCCGCGCAGCTCCGGCCGCGCGGGGAGATCCCCGCCTTGACTCCGAGCTGCCCGGGAACCGAATTGAACCACGGCACCGGGCCTCCCCGAGCCGCCCCGGCCGCCGCCGAGTCTTTGGGAGGCTCGGAAAGAGAGCCCGGCCCCAGGCTGCAGGCGGCGCGATGCTCGACGGGCCACTGAGCCGGCCCCACCTGGGCCTCCGCTCGGCCCGAGCCCCCTCTGGGTCTGGGGGATGGACGGCACAGGGCCTGGCCCAGGACCCGAGCGCAGGAAGCTGCAAAGGGATAGGAACAAGTGGGTCTGCCCCGACTCCACGAAAACCCCAAGGACTCCACGTCGGCGTTGCCTGTGCGGGGCCAGGCTCCGCGCTGCGCGGGCTCGGCCGTCGAGGCTCGCTGGGGACACTGCGGCATCGCCACACCTGGTCTCCGCTTTGCCCCCCGACTCTGTCCGGGAAACGGAACCCCGCAGCGGAGCTCCTAGGCGAAGCAGAGATCGGTGGTGGCCGGCCGGCCGGAAACGGGGCCGGGACCGGCGCCCCCATTTCTCCAAATCAGGAGTCAACGCCCTTCCCCTAAACACCCAGGGAGGGCACGGGTCCCCAAGCCTTGAGAAGTCTGCCACCGGCCGGCGAGCCGGCGAGCCGAGCAGCTCCCGGCCCGAATAGCGCGACAGTGGCCGCAGTGGCCGCTCAGGCAAGGACCGCGGACCCCTGACGGGCCGCCAACGCGCTCCACCCGCGCGGCAGGCCCCTTGCTTCCGAAGGGCACTCACCGCTGGTGACCCGCCGCCCGCCTGTCGGCTCCGGGCTGCTCCGGGCGGGGAGAGTCCGTCGCTCCCTCCCCTGCAGGTCGCAGAGCCGGGGGAAGGAGGCGCAAGCGCGCGGCCAAGGGCGGGAGGTGCGCGCGAGGGCGGCCACTGCGCCGACGTGGGGCTGCGGGTGGCTCGGGGACCTCTGCGGGGCTCTCCGAGCGGCCTCGCGCCCCCGCCCGACTGCTGCAGTCTGCGGCCAGGAAAGGCCGGCAAGCCACCCCGCCCCGCCTCCGCACTCCGTCGGAGCGTGCCTCGTCCAGCCTCGGGGTGTCGGCCCCTCGAGAAGCCGGGACATCGGCGGCGGCGGGGCTGGCCGGTGGGGGCTGGGGGCAGCGGCCCGATGGCCCGGGCTTCGCTAATCACATCAGCGCGCGCGGCCCCGGCTCGCAGCTTCCAGTTGCCTAGCAATGCCCGCGAATTCAATTCCTCAATCAATAGGCGCGAGGCCTGCATTTCGGGGAGCGCTCGCAAGGCGGGGAGAGCCTGGGGGGCGGACATAGCCCCGGGGAGCAGGCCCGGGGACTCGGGCAGCGAGGCTGCGGGGCGTCGAACCTGGGGACCGGAGACGTCGGGCCTAGGGGTGGGGCGCGCACGAGCAGCCTGCAGGGGCGAGCCGCGACGGGAGCCCGCCGAGGCCCTGCCCACCCTCTCGGGGTCCCCCAGTTCTCCCTGGGTTCCAGAGGAGCGCTGCCGGCAGGTGAGGGGCGCCGCGGCCTCGTCCAGAGAGGCGGAGCAAGGTGGGACCCAGCTCGCTCCCCACCCGCCCCCCACCTGGTCTCGGGCTTCTAAGTGGGAAGGGCCTGCGGAGGCGCCGTCCCAGGGCGACGGGGGGAGGGGAGGGACGGGGTCCGGCACTTGGAGAGGCGCGAAGGGGCCTCTCCCCCCGGAGCCTCTGCCCTCAGCTTGCAAAATAAATAATGACTGAAAGAAGAAAAACCCAGACGCGTCTCTATTTACAAAGTATGTATTTAAACACGTAAAAAGCGGGTATGGGATACAGACATTCACGACCGCAGAAGACAAGTACCAAAGCTTCACTCGAGCCAGGCGGCGACCGAGCCGAGGTTTGTACAAATCTTAGAATTCAATAAACCGGACAGGCGCACACCCTGCGCGGCCGCACGCTCCTGGCCCCGCGGCCCGGCCCCTGCCCACCCCCCACCCCCAGGTCTGCGTTGCAAGAGCGAGCGAGGGAGACACGTACACGGCCACGGACAGAAGGCAGGACGCCGGGGAGGGGAGGCTGGCGCGAGCCGGGTCGGAGGGCAGGGACAGGTGGGTGTGAGGACGGGACGAGGAGGCCGGGAGAGAGCAAGGAAGCGAGAAGGCGGCGGCCAGGAAGAGACCGTGCCCCCGAGTCACCGTCCACTCGGCGCCGGGTCCCTTCCATTAGGTTTCGTCGAAAATAGCGTCGACGTGTCCGTTGATACACGGTCAACGGCGCTGCTTTATACAAAGTCTAAAATACCAGTTTTACAAACGTGAGCAGATAAAAAGCCCCACTGCGGGGCCTCTCTTACAGGCGCGGCTTGAGATCCGAAAGCAAACAAAACCCCTTATCCCCCGTCTTCCTCCTCTCCCTCTGGGAAGGCTACAAAGTCCGGAGGCGAGAGAGGCGGCCGGCGGGAGCTGGGCGGCCGGGGACGTCCAGGGACCCCAGCCTGCGTCTGTGCTTGGTTCGGCACGCTCGGGGTGAGCGCCTCGCTGGCCCTTTAAGGGCGGAGAGGCCGGGGCTCAGCCCCCCCGGACGGGGGCCGGTTT